TCCCCGTCTCCCGTGCGAAAACGAGTTCGCACTCGCTCGCCGTCTCCCCTGCCATCGTCAAGTCGGCCCCTGCCGAGACCTCGCCCCAACTTCCGCCGACCGATCTCTCCTGTAACCGATCACTCGTTAGGAGAGTCGACGTCCCGGCCGTACGTTTCGGCGGGTAAGACCCGTCCCCCTTCCCATCTCACTATGGGTTTCCAGGTGCCGTCGTTCCCCCGAGTCTCCCTGTGGTTCGGGAGGGAGTGGGATTTGGATCGGGCTATTGCCGAGTCTCGCCGGTTGCATGGAGATCTGTCCGTGCCCGCCGATCAACGCCTGTCACTGTTGGGCGTGTTATTGTTGCAACAGTCGGCCGTTCCTTCGGCCGACGGGGGGTTTCCCAGATGCTCGGACCCGCGCGCTTGCGGAGTTGTCGTCGATGCGCTCCCTGGACGCAGACCTCCGGCTGGTGAATTCGCTGGAGTCTTTGGTCACATCGCGGGAGGTGGCCGACGTGTGCCGCTACTTGGGCGCCATCCTCTTGGCCATTCATCGGTCTGAAGGCGAGAGATCTGGGTTCTGGGAGACGCCGGAGGGTTTAGAACGTCGGGCCGCCGAGCGAAAGCTGTATGCGGATGTGTGCCGTCGGGACGGCCTGAGCTTCGAGATGATGGACTTGGACTAAGCTCGGCGGGTCGTCGACCGCCTCCCGGACGAGGAAGCCAGCCGGAGTTACCCCGTGTACTCAGGTGTCGGCGTCTTCCTTGCCTTTGTCGTTCGTGGCGTCTTGTCGTGTCGGCCCCTCTTCCTCGGTTCCATAGGACTCCCTCGTTACGATTCGGACTCCCCCCCTCGTGTCTTTTCTCGTTTGTTTTCTTTTCTCTTGTTGTATTATTTTTTGCAATCAATCGGCAGTTCTGCGTTCGTTCGGCGTGTGCTCGGTGAGAAGAGATTTATTATTAGGGGAACCGAGGCCCCGCCAAAGGTTAAATAGAGCAGATTATGAGAGGAATAAGGATAGCCCCCAGGGCTTTCGTGCTGAACGAGGTGTACCCCATTTCTTCACGCGGAGTGTGCCGGTGGCGTGGGGCGATCCGAAACTATTCGAATCGGGGTCCGGCCGTACGCGGGGAGGGGCGGTGAGTTGTTGAGGCGTCGGCGCTTCGCAGCGGGCCCGGCACCATGGGCCGGGCAGGCGTGTTCCATATGCCGATGGTGTTCGTCCCATGGGAATCCGCCTAGGGGTGCCCCACTTCAGGGCGGGCTCCTTTCTTCTGTAGAGGACGCGGTCGAAGACCACGGGTTGGGCTTCGAGGGTACGTCCGTATAGGTAAGCGAGTGAGGCGATGATGATAGCCACTATCGTGGCCCACGCCGGGAGCGCAATGACGGTGGTAGTGTCCATTCTGTTCACCCTCTATAGCTCATTCTACACAAAAGATGTGGGCAAGTACCCAAGGGGCCAATGCAAAAGAGGTTGAGTGTAATGCAAAAGATGTTGAACTTGGTATAATTGTTGAATTTCTCATTGGATTTGAAGTATATGACTAAGCTAATTACATAATCAGTGATAGGAGTCACCTTTTCTTCAGGGCGAATATGCGGTATGTAATATTATGGTCCTAATAAGCCAAAAACAAGGAAATCAATAATCACTTACATAACATTGATCTAGCTATACACAGTGATCAAACTTACTGATGGCCATTAGAAATCGTTCCACATTAGTCAACTTAGCTAGATGTCATCAATCCCATCACTGATACCACTCTACAGGGCTTAAAATTAAAGAGATATCCTTACAGAAAATACTTATTGGGCCATTGCCCTCATCTTTTGCATTACCCCTCTGGGCACCACATCTTTTGCATAGATACAGCTATATGAGCTGTTCTGTTGCGGGCGTAAGGGGATCGCTTAGATTCTGTCAGACTGCGGGTCGGGCCGTGCAAGGACCTCTCCTAAGAACGCGCGCCTGGAACAGAACAGACGGATAGTCGGGCCCGCAGGTACGGCGGGCGGGGTAGATCGAAAACCGAAAGGGCCCATGAACTCGGTCCCTTGCCGTGGTCGGTGGTTGAAGGTTCGAATCGGGTCGTGTCGGGCCCGATGAGTCGATAACGTCTCCTTGCATGGAGTAAGGTAGTTCTTCAGACGATCTAAGCGATAGAGTACAGGGTACGCTATCGCGCCTTATATACGCAGGCCCGCAAAGGGGTGATCGGACACCCTGGCCTCTCCTCCTCCTCCTCGCTCCTGTTCCTGGCTGCAGAGGGGACGATCGTACATCCCTTGCGGGCCAGGCGCTACTCCTAACCTCCTAGCACTTCTCCCCAGTCCCCTTGTGTTGAGTTGGGCTCGGCGACGGCTCGACGCGTCGTTCTCGGTCACGTGCTTCCCACGTGTGCGTTCCTCCTACTGGGGCGCATGTTCCCCGTCGTCACGTGCTGCGTGCTACGGGCCCGCGATGGCCCGACACCAGCGCCGGAGCGGACGGGCCGGGTCTTATCCGTGACAGGGCGCGTGATTCGCTTTCATCAGATCAAATGTCATCATTCGTGAGATTGATGGGAGCCTTTAGCCGAACATCAGTTTTCGTGAGATCACGAAACGTCACGGTGGCCCGATCAACGTGACGGCATCCACTGCTTCTCTTTCCGAAACCACCACCATCTCCCTCTCGCTGTTTTCCTCAACACACAACCACGCTGAACGACAGCGACAACAGGGTGGGGTCAAGCGCCTGAGCAGGGCAGCCTGAGTGGGAAGCTCAGCAAAGCATGTGCGGCTTCTTTGCTTTATGATTGTTAATTGCTCATGGCATGGATCCAGCGCGCGCTCAGAGCTGAAGGCGACCGCGCTGAATGACGGCGACAACAGGGCAGGGCAAGGGCTTGCGCCGAGTGATGGAGGGGCGGCCCGGGAGCCTGGGAACCTCAACGGGCCGCATGTGGGGGGCTTGTCAGTGGTGAGGATATAGCAGGACTTTGGCATTCAGTGAGTCCATCTGCGTCAGCCTACGCCGAGCGCAATGCTTTACAAAGGCTGTAGACTCATGTGCCGTCGGAGACGGGATTATGGCGTCAAGCTGGGCCGGGCGGCCTGTCGCCACGTCGTGCGCAGAATCTCGGGCATCGTGAGTGGTGGCGCAGAGACAGCGAGGCGAGGAGGAGAGTCGAGACAGGCTGGGCATGGTCCAGGCCACCCGGCTTGCTATTGACAGGGGCGAACAGTTCGCCCAGGTGTTGGCCTGGTGCTCAGGCCCAGAACTTGCGTGGTGAATTACTGTTTTGTCATGTATCGGTCACTAACCGCGCTGCTCAACCTTCTAGCCACGCCACTGCTATCATGGCACACACAGGCGGGGGGGCCGCGGCGTCCGTTGTCTTGAAATTGCACTGCGACTTTGATGTGGTCGTGGGAACCCAGGCGGAGAGGCCAGGCAAGGTGGGCGAAGTGCTGAGAGCTTGTTGGTTTATTTACTTGTAAAATCATGTGTAGAATGTAAAACCTCAATATACACTCAGTTTCTACCCCTTATGCATTGAAAATTAGAATTTTGAGACTCAGCTGATGGGATCAAAGTCAGCAATAAATGTGCTGAAATCCCCTCCCCCACAAACCTGCTCCCAGTCGCTCTGGGCATCCAAAAGGTAACACGTGGCGCAATGATCACCAGTTGACAGCTCATGAAAGCCGACCGTGCGCCCGCTCACAAACATTACCAGGGCCCTTATATACACTACTAACTAGGAGCTAGGAACAGGAACTAAGTGAACTAAAGGAGTCCGGAAGGATGGCCTATCTGGATCAATGCTGACTAATCGATGCTGATGAGCCTCTAGGGCTCATCAACTACTGGTGGTCTCTGGAGCACAAAGAAGAGGGTGTTTAACCCAGAGAATAGACAATATTAGCCTATTGAATGCAGTCTGTAGGTATAGCTTTTATGTTAGGCTTTGGGTCTGTCTGGCCATGCAAGGTTTCTCCTAAGAAATATGTACCTGGAATAGAACTCCTGCTATAGGATATATGTTAACTGTTGAATAAGTAGCTGGTTGATCGACCCTCATCACCTATTGTCAATATCTCCTCTTTTCTCCAGGGAGTGCTTGCTTGACTGTGTCATGCCAAGTCAGATAAATCTATTTAACTTCAATATTTACTAGACCATTTCTACAATTTTTAAAACCCTGTGAAAAGTTAGATAAAAATTTGAAATTCTTGAATGAACTTTTTTCTAAGTGAAAGTTCTAACTTCTTTCACCAACTGTAAAGGCAACCCCGGAGGCCTGAGATCAAGGTCCTAGCAGGGGAGGATCCAAAGTGTGAACATTGGTAAGCAAATACAAATGAAGCTGACCTAGCAGGGGAGGATCCAAAGAGAAGAAACTCTAAGGGTCTGCCTGCTAGGGAGCTGACTATATACTGCTCATCCGTAGCTGCCGCTGTCAGGCACAGAAGGCCTGGGTGGCATTGCAGGCAAGGTCCCAGGGCGACCATTGGAAGGGCGTTGACGGATCGGTGATTGTGCATGTGAGATGGAGGGCCGGACCGGAGTCAAAACCGGAGTCGGACCGGAATTGGAATCGTCTCTGAGACTCCGAGGGGCCGAAAGGGAGGTTCCCCTGACACCAACCTTTACCTGAAAAATAATAGAGAAAAAAAAATTACTAATTTTTTCTTAGCAAAAACTACTTGCAAAAACTTGAAATTATTGTCCTAGTTATTTCTCTATATATGATCTGACATTTTTCTTGGTAATCACCAGGTAAAAAATCTCAAGTTCCTTTTCTGATATTTTTAGGCAAAAGTTGCCAAGTTTTTTCTCTTAGAAAAAAAAAAATTATTTAAAAATTTCAAATTTTTAGCTGACTTTTCATAGGGAAAAATTGTGGAAACAGCCCAGTGAATCTGAATGCGGCTACTATTTGGGCACTACTGAGCCATTATTCCCACGTGACAGACTCCTGTGACTGTTGACGTGACAAGTGTCGCCATGTTGCTCTTTGACCACAATGACCACTGATTCAAGTTGCGAGGACTCGGAGGTGCTCAGAGTGCGTCCCCGTTCGAATTTCGTGGATTTGTGTGCTCTAACCGAGGCTTTCAGGCATCTTCTGAGTTGTCGTTGCCTCTTGAAACCACCACCGCTCAAGAAGAGGCTTCGCAGGCATTCTTGGCCTCTTGGGACCCGGTGCTGGCTCATGCCGTGTCAACCCTTGCGGGACAACTAAGTATTGCTCGAGTTCGCGAAAAGATTGACACGCATCTAGGCCTTCTTGACCTCGAAGAGCTCAAGGCCAGAGCCTTCCACGTAAAATCTGTTCCTGTCACTGCCCTTCATCTCCTTGCCGTCGGCGGGAGCAACTTGGTGTGCTATTGGAGCTCGCGTGTACGCTTACTGACTGCCAAACTGTAGATTTTTCTGCTTGTGCTCTTGGACAACACTGACTTTCTCGCCCGCATTCGGAGACCTTCGTCGTGGATCCTTCCCGAACAAGTTACCGCAGAATTTCTGTCCGAAATTGCAACGATGCGATTTATCGCGGCCCATACAACTATCCCTGTGCCTGCGCTGCTGGGCTGGAACGAGTCTGCTGAACCAGTAGGCGCGCCGTACATGTTCATGGAGCGTGTTGCTGGAGTCCCCCTCGCGGTTGTCTCGCATCTTTTTTCACGTGAAGCGTGGCTCCAGGTGGCAGCACAGACAGCAGAGTTCGAAGAACAACTTGTCAACCATCCTCTCAAGGCTATCGGCTCGATCGTCGATGTCGACGGAACTGTCGGGCCGCCCCTTCCTCATCAACTCCGTGTTCCACCGTGCGAGGCAGCCTTGTCATCGTCGAGAGACTATCTCATGGCACGGTTGCGTGAAGCCCAATCACACATTCCTGATGACGTCGCCTGGCGCGAAGGGCGGGAGTACTACCCCGACCGCGAGGCGGATACACTCACAAGGGACGACCTGCATCGAGCCCTTTCTCGAATCCACGACCACTGCGCGACCCTGACCGCCACACCTGATGTCTTCCGGCTCACGCACGCTGATTGGCACTCTCTCAATGTCCTTGTCCGCTCTGCCGAAGACCCGACGATCGTTGCGGTCGTTGATTGGCAGGGCGCGCAGGTGCGGCCATATTGGGACGAGCGGTACCACCTTTTTGTCACGACCTTGTTCCAAGGCTTCAGCGAGGATGGCGTTGCGGTACCTGAAGATGAAGTTATCGAGCATTATATGGCGCGGATGGAGAACGAGCCCTGGCCCGAGTCGGACTTCTGGCTCGATGCGCGGGTTATCGTTGACAGCGACCCCACGGGAGTTACACGAGAGGAGGTGGAGCGCGTGCTAGAGTATTGTGTGGCGTCGTCGTGAACTTGCCTAATGAAGGTACTTAGGTAATTAAGCTCTTCAGAGTAACTGCTCTCAAGTAATAAGTACTTAGTAGACGTGTACTAACAGTTCCTTGTTTTTGAGGCCCAAGTATTCAATACGAAAGCAACTCCGAGAACATGCAAGCACGCGTATGGCTGCCAGAATGCACCCCTGCCTAAAAGGAATGTTAGCGCTGTCACACGTGACAACGCTTTTCATTCAGAACCATCATGCGCGAAACCCTGATGCTGCCCCAATCCCGGTTAGGAGCAACCACATCAAGCTGCTCGTGGGTAGGAACGGGACCAGGCCACCGTTTAAATCGCATCATATTCCCTCGACACGTATACCTCAATTGGGCTGGAAGCTGATGTCCCCGGCCCGGGAAGCTGTGTTGGCCAGTTGTCTTCACCTCTTGCTCGGGGAACTCGCAACGGAGATCGGGCGGCAATAGTGTGACGCGCCACACCACCTCTGTTTGTCGACTGCATGTCCCTTTTACGGGAGCAGAAGGGCCGCAGTCGCCAGGTCAGCTCCGGGTTCCCGTGTCGACTTCCCACCTCCCGATGCCCGGTCCGTTTCCCGCGGGCCAGGGCCCAGGACCGTTCATGCTGTCGTCGCCGTCTGGCGCTGTGCTTCTGTGCAGTCTGTTTCTCCGGCAGGCTGGGCACTGCTTGCTAAACTCCCCGAAGGAACACCGAGTCCCGCCCACAACTCACCTTCCTATCCAATCCAGTTATTAGGATGCCCCGGTCACCGCCCATCGCCGCAACCACCATCCGATATCGATTCGCTGCATTCCCATCACCACAGCACGAAGTTCACTTCTCAGGCTTGATCCGCATCGAGGTTGACCTCCGCGAGCCTTTCGCTGTCGCTGTCGGCTGTCTCCGCTGCGTCAGTCAGTGCGCAGACGACAGGACACAAGACAGCTGGCAGATCGTGTCGTGGGCGATCTTCAAGGAGGTGCAGACACGACAAGACATCGGCGTCTGTTGACGCACTTTTCGTCCAACTCTGCTCCCATGGCCACCCATTTACATCTTTCATCTTACGAGACGCCCGAACTTGAACACAACGGCGAAACCCCTCGGCCCATTCTTCCCTTCTTCCACACACACATATTGCGGGCGTATGACTCTGCGGCGCCACGCGTGTGATAATCTGGTTTCTGTTCCCATTCCGTCTGCTTCTCCCATTCCGCGCTTCTTCGAGGCTCGTGCGCCGGCTCAGCTGCGTCATGGGCCGGCTCGACTGCCAAATATATCTGGTTCATGGACTCGGAGAAGCAACAGAAGCGGGCTCGAATCTTGCTCGAATCACAGACTTAAATGAAGAGAATCAGCTGCAGTGCCAGAGACGTGGGCTCGCTTCAATTGCTCGAATTCTCGGCGTCTACTTGTGATATTGTAGGAGTGCATCCTCGCCGTTCTATGAATAGAGGGTGTCCGGATACAAGAGTAAGGGCCCAGTGCCCATTCTACCTCCGCGGCTCTGCGGAACGAGCGCCAAGGAGCGGCGGAATTCGCTGCCAACTTCTCGACGGCGATGCAATATTTCAACATGGACAAAATCAGCACGACGCACGCAGTACAGTATCAATTTCACGATCGCGCACCCTTTTCTATGCGGTGGCCAGATTCAACTTCCTTCTGCCAGTGGGCCTCCCATACTTAATACGATTACTTCGCGACAAGCATACTCCCGGTTCTACCTCTCACGGCCCACCGGCCCGCGTGTCCAAGCGGTGAGAACCAATTGAGAACACTATGCCAGTCGCAGCCAGTGACACGATACAAAAAAATATACAACTATAGTTATTTGATTTTGTGTGCCCTCTATAGCGTTAAATTCATCTTAGCCCGCTATATCGCTTTTCTTCGTTGCCATCCAGTTGAATCTTGAGACTTCATCCAAGCTTTTGCCGGAACGGCCCGAGTGCCGGGGTCACCTGTGACCTCTGTGACTGTACAACACAGCCACGAATCCAAACGAGCCCGCCACTATCCATTAGCTTCTTCGAATTCTCTTGGGCGGCAAGTGGGGAATTCAACGGACACCCCTGTCATACATTGGGGTTGCAGCAGCTTCACAGACGAGACTAATACTAGTATCTTGCCTTGCCTTCAAGTTTCTTTCGTGACTGCTCCGCCTGCATGACTCGAGAACGCCAGTCGCAATGGGCTTGGACGACACTGTATTACTCAAAGTCTCCATTGAAAGCTTCAACCAAGCAGCAAGTTCAAGACAACCCCCTGCGTCTCGTCGCTGCCTGCGGTGTCATGATACAGAATGCGACAGGCAGAAACTGGTCCACCGCCTCACCGTTGGTCTTTGCCTCCGAGGAGTCTTTCGGCCGTGCCACCCTCGGCTACCGCGTTATTGTCGAAGAAGACCTCATGGGGCTGCTCCGAAGGTCTACAGATGTCTGGCGGGACAGCAAAAGCCTCCGCCCGCCCTCACCAAGCACTATCGATGTCGACATGGATGAGGCCGGAATGACGTGTTGCTACTGGAATATTGACCTTTCCAACAGGGACGCCTTTTCTTCTTCTCTCATGGACGATTCACGAGTCAGAAGAAAAGATTGCGAGCGCTGCTTAATAGTTTGCGGACTCGGAAGGCAACATTACATTCGACAAGCTTCAAGTTCACATATTCTTCACATTTCCGGATCGAATAATTCACGTCCACGAACGAAGCCGTTGAAGCACTCTTGGACTCGGATGCCTGCTTCCTTCGCCTCTTGTTTTCTTCAACTCTGCCCCTTCCTTAGATTCATTGGCTGTAGAGTCTTGCTCATAGTTGAAGATAAGCTTATAACTGTCTATTCAGAGTCCATCTTCCGCAAGGTCTCCCAATTGGGCAACCCGAAATACGACGGAAGCTTCTCCCAACATTCGGTGCGGGCTCTATTGAATACTTCTTTCCCCTTTGCAAGACATGTTTCAGTCACACAATTCCGTGTCCTGGTCCTATTCCACTTGGCCAGAATCGGCACCATGTTATGCACACGGGTCAAGTGCCAGTCCCACAGAGCACTGTGCTCTCGCCGGCATGTCTGACCCTGCAGACAAGAACCAGGAGTACCGTATCGGGGTGAAATCCAACGCAACGGCGTGTCAAGGTAGGACTGCATGATCTTTGTGTATACTTCGTCCCTTGGTCCTGAATGTCATGCAGACCCGCAAGCTGGTCGTGCAGAATCTGGGGGATAGGTTAGCCGCATTTTTGTGTGGCTAAGCTTGAATGCTTACCCCTTCCTGGACTTCAGTGCAGATAAGATGGTAAAAGGCGACTGGAAGCATGGAATGAAGACCGACTCCTTCAGTCACTTCACGCGTGAAATTGATGATGTTGACACACAGCTGAGCGGTATAAGCATTATTGGAGAGCTCGACCTCTATGTCCAAGTCCGGCATGATCCATTGCCATGCTCCGTGGTTGAACTGCTCCAACCTTGTGGGAAATGCCGCCTTCAGTCAGTGCACACAACGCCTGCGGAATGGCTCAATGGCGTACTTCTTGCTCAGCCGCAGAACCGCAGAGAGTTCGCGGAATGACGGAGCATCGTCGACAAAACACCTGTTATTCGGATTCCTTTAGGTTGGTTACTTTTGTCTGAGTCTTCACGCACTCTTTGGGGAACATGGCATCCAGCAGATGCTTCCAGCCTTCGCTCGTGTCACCCGGGAGCACCACAACAGGGCAGTTTTCGACTAGCGGCTCGTCGGGCGGGAGGGGGGAGGGTGAACGTGTCTCGGAAGAGAGGAGAGTGCATTGCAAGCAGGCCTCTGTTGAGCCGGAATTGGGTGGACTGGACTTGTAGGATAATGTTTCCATCATCGAACCAATAGTCGTCAGAGCGTGCAGGTACCGGTGCTATGTCGGGGTCCTCCGCTGACTCAGAGTCAGTTTTTCTCCGCTTTGCTCGACGCCCTTCATGATCGTCCAAGACAAGTGAAGAGTGGCGGTGCCAAGCTAGGACAGCCTATTTTGTTCATCATACGTATCCCCGCCGCTTAGATTTTCTTGTGGGACAGGCGTTTTCAAAATTCAGCTTCGAGTCATGGGGAGGTCACTGGGCCGTCGTGATTGACCTGAGAAGACAACGACAGCGCATCACGGAATTAAGGTGGATCCGCGCCGCCATCTGTAGATTGTGATCAACCGTGAAGATCCTTCAAAAGCGGCTGCGGTTGTGAGCGGCATCCTTTCCTTTACTCCCTATTGGCATGCTCCCTCGTAGTGCCTCACATGCATCCCTGCCGTCCTCTGTCTCCTCTTCGCAGATGTATTCCATATCATCCTCAAGCACACAATGGGGGTTGGGAACACTCAGTGGAAAAGCCATTCTTATGCTGGGGAAAGCAACCCTCCGTGGGGTTGAGCAAATCCATATGTTCCGAAGAATCAAGATCATAAAAGAGCATCTACTTCAAGAAGATATTGATGATTACAGTGAAGTCCTCATAGATGAGCTTTTGGAGTTGACAAGGTAAGTAAAGGTTTATACTCATTTGACTAAGTTAACAAAGCAATAGGCCAGGGCTGTATCCAGGAAAAATACAGTGCTTAGCTTTAAAACTTGTTCTTACAGAAATTGCATATTCAAACATATCACATCTAGTAAAAGCCTTAGCAAAATGGCCAGCAGAAGATCTTCAGTTGCTTCTCAGAGAAATAATGTGTCTGGTATTATTTTGCAAGTCAGGGTTAGTTATCCAGATATCTAACTTCTTTATATCTAACTTGATATCTAGCTTTATGGAAAATCAACTCTGCCATGCATATCTCTCAGCCCTCTCTAATAGGAATGATTATGTTGGAAAACATATTCCTGTGATTATCTTTATACATCAGCTTATAAATACAGATCAAACAATCTGGGAAAGTGCTCTTGTTGCTGGCTTTCTGGACTTTATTGTGCTGGCATGCTCCACTTACAGGGGTGACATACCATATAAAGACTCTCAGGTCATTTCTGCTGCTTATACTTGTCTTTCCTATTTACAACAGGATCCAAAGCATACTTGGGAAGGTATTAACACAGGTTTATATAACAACAAACTCTTACCAGGGCTATCCCCTTTTGCATTACTTGAAAAAATTCAAAAAGAAGATCCAGAACAGTTATTCCAGATGCAGGCTTATTTTTTTCACCAGCAGCTATCATCAATTACAAAGCTTGCAATTTGGCCTCATACACAGGTTGAATATCCTTTAAATAGATCCAATGAAGTTTTTCTAAGCTATCTTCTGTGAGTTATTTACCATACTTATTATTGTAACCTAAATACATTTTAACACAAATTAACAGTAATATCCAGAAAAATGAAAGTGATGCCATAGCTCAATTCCATGGAATTGTTCCTCTTGCTATATGCATCTCAGCAGGATACAGTGTATTTGATTATATAACTGAGAAACTGAAGAACTCTCCCTTCCGAACTAAAGTATACTTCTTTAACAGGTTGATGTATCTCCTTCTGCCAAGCAAGTATGATATGTCAATAAATATTTTTCTCTATCTAACAAATCTTTAGGCACAATATCTATGGTCATCCTGTACTTCACCGAATTGATGATATGGGAGGACGTCCAAAAAAATATGCAAGAGAATTTGATTACATTTCTAACTTGGATAGGACAACATTCTCATGTGGGGCAGAGTGTACTTTTAGATGCTGCTCTGGTCTTATTATTGCCTGGCTTAGTTCCCACAGTGAATCCTGCTGCCATCCATGGAAACTTGTATCGGCGCAGGAACTTGATAGTTTCACGGAAAGCAGCTGCCCCTTATTCCAAGGAAAGCCTTGCCTTATTGAATGGGATCAAGAAACATCAATTAGGGAAATTAATTGCTACCAGCAACCTACAAGAGCAGATTGAGATTACCAAGATCTTCCAACCCTTGATTGATTTATGGAGTTCGGAATTACTCTAGTGTTTATGGAAGTTCCAACTACTTGAATACATATACTTACAAATTCTCCCTTCCACTTATTCTGTTGTGTTTTCAGTAGATTGTCTTTCTCGTTATACTGTCGATCAAAGAAATACGTAGATAATCGTTTTCAGGTCGCTCAGGCTCCAAGTATTCCAGTAGAACAGCGTGAAGGACAGTACATAACCCGGTAGTTGTGCTACTGCAAAGGACATAACGTAACCATCTTCCCGATTCTGACGCCAACCTCCGCGATATCGCACATGCTGCTGGTCGCGCTCAACCGAGCGGAGTATCGCTCGTTGAGCATTGGTAGGAGCGTCTCTGGAAAGGCACTGATTTTGCTTCCGGTTGGCGTTGTTTCTAGCGCCCATCCGATGGACGCATGGAAGCGCGGGGAAGCATAGTACTCTTTTTGGCGGATCGTTTGCAAGAGGGGCGTCAGTGCATTCGTGAAGGCGGATAGCTGTAGCCTATTTAGCCGTTGTGGAAAGGAAGAGATAGACCGAAGACTACCTCGGGATGTCCAGCTCCGATTTCGAGGACAAGGAATATCCTCGTGTTGTCGTCGTTGGTGAGAGACGAAATGCGTGCGAAGGAAGCGGCGAAACTGGGAAAGCTAGGCTTTAGAGGTGATGGCATGATAAAAGGCAACGCACCGAGATGTGCCCGCGGCGATCTTCCTGACCTCATTCCTGAACTCCTCCCTCTGCTCTGCGCGCAAGAATATGGGCCGAGAGAGTGAGACGTGCAGCTCTGGCTCTTGTTCACTGGGGCCGTCCTCACCCTGTCCAGGAGAGACCAGCGAGTGCAAACTAGGAACCACCGTTCTAGCCGCGTCGATAATATGCTGAACTAGCTTCACGAATGTTGAGTCAGGTAGGACATGGGCATAGATGTGTGTCGCCCATTGTCCATCCACGTGTGGCGTGGAGCGAGTTCGTCCTTGATGTTGACTCGGATCGTCTATATGCTTCGGACCAGACAGCGTATTCGAGAGGGTTGGGAGCTTCCTAAGTATTTAATGTCATGGAAAAAACAGCTATGAAGGAAGAAACATACCGCTTCTTAGCAGGTGGCGGAGGAGGCTCTGGCGATGGCTTTTCCACGTCCGACTCCGAATCAGAGTAAGCAACTAAGGACGCAGCCACTGCATCCCTTTTCATGCGTCGAGGTTGAGAGGAAACAAGTGTCACTCCCTCACGTGGCCGTGACTCATCTCCCTCCCACGCCGATCGACAGGATGACGGTCCAGTTCATCAACAACCTCTCGTCCTCTGGCCCTGCTGCGCATACGCACTCGCACGATGGCGATGCTCACCACTCTCACTCCCACTCACATGGCCCAGGCGACCACGGTCATACCCACGAACACCTGGAACATGCGGGCAAATTTGCAGAACGCGACCTGCCGGACTATTCGACTAGGAACTTTGAGGAGCGGGGATTCACCGTTGGGATTGGCGGGTGCGTCACTTTTGTGGGCCGTAAAAGGCACGCCTCAAGGCGGATAGCATAGACCGGTTGGGTCTGGCAAGACTGCTCTGACGCTGGCCCTATGTCAGGCTTTGCGGAAGGAATACAATATCGGTGCGTCGCTTTCCCTCTCATCCTATCGGAGGCTCATTGTTCGGAACGCTTTAGCGGTCGTAACGAACGATATCTTTACTCGTGAAGACCAAGAATTCCTTATCAAGAACCGCGCTCTGCCAGCATCACGCATCCAGGCAATCGAAACCGGCGGCTGCCCACACGCCGCTATCCGTGAAGATATCAGCGCTAATATGGGCGCACTGGAGACGCTTCAGGCCCAGTTTGGCTGTCAGCTGCTCGTCGTGGAGAGCGGTGGAGACAATTTGGCGGCAAATTACTCTAGAGAGTTGGCGGATTATATCATCTATGTTATTGACGTCTCGGTGGGTGCTCCTCTGCGTTTTTTTTTCTGCCCCAAGTCATTTTTTTTCTAGGGCGGCGATAAGATCCCGCGCAAAGGCGGGCCAGGAATCTCGCAATCCGATCTGCTTGTCATCAACAAGGTTTTTCTCGTTTTTTTCCTTGTCCATTTTGGCGCTCATCCGTCTTTAGATTGACATCGCGCCTCTCGTCGGTGCCTCCCTGGAGGTGATGGACCGCGACTCGAAACTAATGCGTGGAGACGGTCCCACAGTGTTCACCAGCGTCAAGCAGGGCACCGGCGTCGACGATGTTCTTGGTCTCATACTTGCGGCATGGAAGAGTGCTGGAAGTCCGGGGACTGTTGGCGCAGTGGGGGATGCATAAGCTCGAATCGAATGAGTTCAATTCATTGTAATGTATAAGATGTACAGCTTGTACTACCAACGGCCTCGGATTCTGTAACGGTGTTTGCATGCCGTTTCAAACCACCATTTGGCCTCATCATTCATCGCCATCGCTAAACTCGGGCTGTGCCCATTGTTCGCACTACCGCGATCTCAAACCGAGTTAGAGCCCACTCAGAGCTGTGGAAGGTCCCTATGCAAATCCTCATTAAATCTTTGGTGAAATTGAACTTTAAACACACGAACTCATTCATGTTGACTCAGATGCAGCTCAATTACAGATTGTTGTCAGTGCGCCTCTCATTCGTCCAGGCGAACCAGCAGCTCGAAACCCGAAAAAGAGGCTTGGACATAATAAATATCCATCGTCAAATACAGTCATGCTTATATTGAATGTCGATGCACTATGCAGCCGTGGACTTGCATGTAGCCAATGTAAGCCGTTGGCTCCTAATAATCTTATCAACATCTTGCAATCGATTATCTCGGGCATATCTTATCGCATCAGAGGTCGGCCATTACCCGACATTTTCACACACCCGCAGGTTGCGCAGCGGCGTCGGACGGGCACCGGGGGTCCGAACAGAAGACACCCGCTTGGAGGGAGGATTTCTCCGCGCAGACCGTCACGGTTGCACATGTGTGCCAACAAGTGGCAGCAAAAATCCGGAGTCGAGGGCGTCCCGAGCGGCGTCGTGATTGCTTTGTTGCCAAGTCCTACTATTCAGGTTTGCGCACGCGAGAATTGCGATTAGTTATGGGTAGTAAGTATATTGGGTATGCTTAATGCTAGGTGTCGGTACTTAGGCTGAGTCCGAGTCTTAGTAAGTACTAGTAGAGCAGCGTTAGTAATAGGTGTGCTGAGCTAGCCTGAGCCATGAATTCAAAGACAATCGAGAATGCCAGCGCCCGGCCGTGGACGGTGTCAACTTGAGGCTGCATCACATTAGCAGGTATCAGGATCCAAGTGGGTCAATACAGTCGTATTGCCAAGCACGGGCGACGGGCACTGGGATCGGCGAGTAATAATGGGGTTGATTTTGTTGCAGTATCCGTGACATGGGCAACGCGGGCATTGTCATATTGGGCAGCTGCAGGGCAATCTGGCCAAATGCATCGTGGTCAGGGTGGTGCGCTGGGGAGCTTGAGCTCCGTGTCGAAGCGTTGGAAGCCGGGGAGCTGCCGGGCCGACGAGGAGGAATAGCATATCCAGTGTGATTCAAAACGGCAAGCGAAATGGGGGTATAGCTCGACTGGTCGTGGGCGAAGTAGCTTTCGGTCATCGAAGTTGACGGTCGTATGCGGGAGGCGTTGTCCATGAGAACAGCGTGGGCGTCCACCTCATTACTATCGCCATACGCGCAGGTTTCGCCCCGGCGAGTACATCGTTCGCATTGCGTCTCCGCCAGCTTTAGTGGCATGCTTGTGCTAGGACTACCGGTTCTTCCGTGGCCAAGGCCGAAATGTCCAGTAATTCGTACACACTGGTGAAGACTATTATTGAGATGATCAAGTGTAGGCAAGATCTAGAGAACTCACCCGGACTTTTGACTTCCTGCATCCTAGACATGCACGATTCGTCCGCCGCGGTTTACTTCGCTTGCCCTTCGGCTTCAAGCCCGTCCTTGTACTCGAAAGGTCTTCAGAGGCAGAGCTCCACGGGGTAAGGTATCCAGAGTTCGTTATCGTTGCAGGAGGCGCTGAGTAGCGATGGGAGCGGGGAAAGTGTAGGTCCATAGTGGTCAAGAGTTGAGTGGGAAAACTAGAAGTGGTGCGTTTGTAAGTCCCTTATACGTATATCTATACCTCGTTATAAATAAACAAAGACAAAAGTGACACGGGCACACGAGAAAAGTTCCCGAGAAACCCGCATCACATTTGCCTTGGCATGTCGTCGTTTTTTCGCCTGTTTTCTGTATCTTAGGCGCTTGTCGCAGATGTCAACTCTACTGCAAGCGCTGCCCGCGGGCTTGTGGCCTGCGCAGTGCCAGCGAACACCATCGCGTATTTGGCGCTACTCCGTGTCGACCAGAATCAAGTAATTGCTGTGCCATGTAGAACTGGGTCCCCGCGCGCTGCGTCGTTGCCCTGCTCATACTTCCTGCAACCCGTGTCAGGATTCTTGGCATCGTTTTGCGCCGCCTCCGCTTTCGCCGACTGGAGAATTGATCATAGTTTCTGGATTTTTGGTCATGGTGGCGTTTGAGTCGGTATCCCGCTCGCTCACTCCACGCGAAGCCCAGGAGTTACACGGTGGCAGCAGGATTGCATTGTCATCTGAGTCGATTCCAATCTTGACAAATACGCGCGCGACTTGGAATCGGACTCGAAGCACAGAGTGTTGCGCGGGAAATTCGAAGGGCATAAGTGTTGGATTGTCACCCCGACCTTGAACTTATTGAGTAGCTGGAAATTGCCTGCGCCCCAGTAATCAAGTGTTGCAGTCAAGTATATGCGCAGGTCGTCTCATGTTGAGCAACAGAAGAAGCACGGACGAAAAGTCAGATTGTTGTCACACATATCGTCACATTGATCCAAGAAAACCATTTTCATCATGTCCACTGAAGAACGCCCTCCGAAACGGCCTCGAAACGACTATGGGAGCTCCGATGCAAGCGGTCCCCCTGCCCTACAGCGCTCAACCGACTACTGGTTTGACGACGGGAATATCATCCTACAGGTCGAGTCGACGCAATTCCGGCTTGCGAAGAGCGTATTAGCGATGCATTCATCCGTCTTCCGCGATATGTTCTCCCTACCGCTTCCCCAAGACGAACCACTAGTTGATGGGTGTCCTGTTGTGATCTTATGTGGCGACCGAAGCGAGGACTGGACACATCTTCTCGCTGCTGTGTTTCCGTTGCAGTAGGGCAACTTGAAGTATACGCTCGCCACGTTAAGACTCATGAATAACCTTCACAGACTCTTTCGGACGAGAAACCCCACATTGGACCAACTGTCCGCCATCCTGCGCCTCAGCAAGAAATATGACATACCTCTGCCTCGCAGCGACTGTGTCCGACGGCTTAAATGTGAATTCCCTACCACGTTGGCAGAGCACGACCAGCTGGATACGGGGTGGATGCATATCGAAATACCTGGTGACCTCTCGATCACGCAGGCCCTTGTCCACCTCGTTAATCTCGCCCGAGAAGTCGGATTATTTTCCATACTTCCACTTCTCCTCTATGACATCATCATTGCCGCGGAACCCGGCGAAAACGATCACGATAATCCTAATGTACGCTTTAATTCTCCTGCTTCATAACCCGAAAAACTATTCATCAGGTTCTCCACCATGCTCTACGGAAGCTGTCCACAGCCGACGAAATCGCATGTCTACGGTTTCATGTCAGGCTCATGCAACCGTACCATCAAACACCGTTGAAGTGGATTGAAAGTGTCCCTTGTGTCGAATGTACGGCAGCCCCCAAGTGCTCTGTGAAAATCGACCTCTTGCTCGGCCTAGCTCTGAACGCCCCCAACGCTTTGATTCACGAGTTCTTGACCCAGTGGGATAGTCATGACGACTGGAGTAGCAAAGTTTGTGAAAAATGTCTCATCGTGGCCAAGGCTGTCCACGAGACTGCTCGGCAGAAATTCTGGGATAGATTACCGTCGTTCTTCGAGCTTCCGGAGTGGGAGGAACTACGAAAGATGGATTTCGAGTGACAGGTGGCTGACGAGTGTGGAAAGTATGAATTTCTCGCTCTAACAGGTTCCACTCATTCCACTCGTCTAATAAATTTATGTAAACACTCCGTCAAGTCAGTTACTACTGCATGAGTGCAAGTCAGACCAACAGCTATGCATCCATTTCCCGCAGCTCCTTCCACTCTGGAAGGCCGAATACCCCTGGCAATCTGTCCCAGCAGGCTTGGCGCACATCCTTATGCCTATGCCTGGCCTCCCTCCAGAACCCTTCCACAGTGAATAAAGAGGTCTTTTACCTATTCTTCTTCTTCCCAGTCCCAGTCCAGACAGGCAGTCAAAATTAAAGCAACCCAATGGAGTGTCAGAATAGTTGCAAGTGATAGTAATGTAGCCTTTTGGCATGCTGTCTGCGCTCCAGTTGAGAGGTTTGAAAATGTCCATAATCAAGTTGGCCTGGAAGCAATGATTTTCAGCTTGTCAGCTTTTGAGCATCTGAATGAGCCTTTGGATATCATTGCTTCCAGGGCCAACTTGATTATGAACACTTTTCAAACCTCTTAACTGTAGAACAGATGGCATGTCAAAAAGGCTACATTACGACTATTCCGACACTCTGTTGGGTTGCTTTAATCTTGACTGCCTGTCTGGACTGTCATCGTGCACCGATCCAGGCGTTTTGCAGGGTGTTCCTCAGACAACGACGAAGACATGGTGACACAATGAAGAAAGAGCGAAAGAGCGACGATATGACGTGTTACGAGAACGTAACATGTAACACGCTTCTTTAGGCCGACTTTGCGGCAAATCTAGAATATTTGGGTGTTTTGTCACACACGTGACCGTGATTATTCTTGACAATGGACATCGACGTCGTTGCACCATCCTATACGATCCTCCGCATAAAACGGAAGCGGAATGAGGAGCCGCTTGATGCACTAGGTGAATCCTCCTCATGTCATGTTCATTCTAATGTTGACTGAACAGTGGTCGAGTCAAGACGAAAGAAGAAGTCTCGTGGAGGTGCTGCAGGGCTTGGGGTCGGCGCGGGAGTCTTCCAGTTTGCCCAGACGGTGGAAAATGACGCCTGGGATGATGAACGCAAGAAGCGCGATATCGAGGTGCGAGCTGGTGCCGTGTTTGTTTATTGGGTTGATGATTTCGGGCAGGACCAAGTCTCGCGTCTGGCGGCGGCCGAAGCCACAACACCTGCTGTAGCCGCCCAATCGAAAGCTCTACCCCGGGGTCCTCCATCGCCAACGGTGGCAAAAGAGGACACACAACGACGATATAAGGTCATCATGCAGGAACAACCAGAGAGACCGCTGAAACGACGGTTTCCTTCAAGCCCGTGCGTCTTGCTCTTCAACTCATATATTCTCGTGAACTGACACTCCATAAAGTCCTAAAGTTCTTTCTGCCAAAGACCTCGAAGCCGCCAAACCAAAAGACACCGGTTTTACGCTGTACGATGCAGTCCTTTCCGGAGACAAGTCTGCTTCGATGGGGAATGACGACGAGTTGGACAAATTCCTGCCGATGTTGAGCGATTATCTGAACAGTTGAGTGCTTTTCGAACCAGGGTTCCTCGTATTCACGACCGTTAGTCAATGACATCACCGTCCCCAGCGACCTCTCTTCCTCCACGTCATCCGACGACTATGTCTGGGATGTCTTTTACCATAGAGCGGCCACCTTGAGTGAATGGAATGCCGCTGCGAATGTCGGGACACTGTGAGTAATTGGAGATGGACAAGTTTTGTTTTCTTGACTTTGGTGCAGCACTGGTCTGCCTCCGTCGGTAACCGATCCTTATGATTCCGCCTCAGACTCGGAAGAAGAGGATGAAGCGGACGAGGATTCAAATGGTGGGTTTATTTGCCAGATTTGAAATGGAACTATTCTAATGTGCTGTAGCGGAGGAATATTACAAAAACGACTATCCCGACGAGGAGGATAGCTCAGAAGAAGAGCGATCTAGTGGTGAGTCATTTCGATGTTCACGCCCGCAATCTTCATAGCGTTCTAGACGACTTTTACGATGATTCAGATGATGGGATTTATGAAGCCAACGACTCTGATCATGAATGGAGGTAATACACGGTAACTTAGATCGAATATTTAGACGTTCTGTGGCCTATGCCTTTTCGTCGTGATCAGACTATATGAAGCACGTTAGCTTAATGCCGGCGTCGAATTCAAACTCGCCTTCGAGCTTGGGGTTCCTGCTCTTCTTGCTTTCCCTTTTCCTCGTCCGATCGTCAAGCATCCCAAGAATGTCAACACAGCAAACATGGCCAGCATGACCGCGACCGTCAACCCAGCGCCAAGGAAGCCAGCACCAACCGGGCTGATGGGTTGGTGGCGGTGGGCTGCAGGGGCCGATGCGAGGGCCGCGGCAGCAGCTTGCGCGAGCGCGCCACATCCACGGTCTTGCGTATTGTTGCAGGCCGTGCACCATTGAGTCGTGCTGTTGACCAACGCAGGCTGTTTTGAAACTCGTTAAACGTGCTATGGGGCACCAAAAAAAAAGGACCGACGTTAACGTGGTTTGCCAAAGCAGAGATGGTCACGTCGCCAGAGCCACCGAGCAAGGGGTAAGTGACGAAACTTGCGTCGGTGCCGTTTTTGAAGTTTAAGCGGATAACGGGCTCGCTGCCGTCGTTTGGCTGGCGGACCTCTATCGCCACAGACGCAGCGTAATTTACTATTCTTGAATCAATAATCATGGCTCAGCAAGAACAAAAATACTGACCCAGTCCAGCGAGTTCTGGATGGGCCTGTGCAACTCCCGTCATGTTGAACAACGAAAGGAAGGGTTTGTATGCAAGTGATTGGTACGCAAACTTGAGAGGGTCCGTGGCGTTGGCGATGCTGCGTAGGTTGGCGATAATACCAGGCAATATTGCGCGACCCGCAACTGAGAAATCAATCAGCCAACTCACAAGTCAAGGAGCGGAAAAGTGACGGACTGTTCCCGGCCCCGTCAAGGTTTGCGGAAGTAAAGACACCATATTCATGCCAGTTCGCAAGCGCGCGGACCTGGGGGAGGAAGGTGGGTGGGAGAGCTTTGGCGAAGTCGGCATTGTGGATTGATTGGACGTTCATGAAGTCGAAGATCTGCGAGACTGAATATTCTTCAACTCCATAGAGGAAGCAACCCATACATTATACATGTTTTCCAGTGTGACTGGTCGACCGTCGAGGTAGGGCGGCAGCATCGCCAAAAACGCGGAAGTTTCGTTCTTCTTCTGCGCAAATTCTGCGGACGCGTAAAAGGCGGTCGTGGCATCGTTAAAAGTCTAAAACAAGGTCAGACTGAGTACTTGGAAGCTGTGGTGACTTGCATTGCATAACGTGTATCCCTCAAGAGAGACGTCGTTCGTGGGCTCAACGGATTCAACTGTTATCAAGAGTTTAAAAGAAAATACTTGGGGGGTAATGCACTTACTGGGAACATACTAAGAACAAAGTTGAGGTAAAGCGCAATCTCTAATAGCTTAACTCACTTGATATCCTGCAAGCGCCCCTTGCACATCAGTCCCATTCGCCAAATCCTGAGTGTAATTCGCGTTGGCGGGGAATAAACCCTGGAGGAGGGCCACCGCTGAGTCGTAGATCACGCCAAGTTCCCCACCAGCGTCTGCACGGACATGCTATTTACGGCAGTGAGTTCGGTGTCAAGTCAAGGGTCAAAAGTCGAAGGGGAAGATGGACAGATTGCGAGTAAGGTGGGGGGAGAGCGTGGAAACACACAATTTGGTTCTGGTTGACGAGCGTGTCGTTCATTCCCTGGATGTTGAGAGGTGACGAGGCATTGAGATACATCGAACGAAGGAGCTGCCCCAATTGAAACTCTTGTTTCTGCGAGATTCTCAAACGACCTCAAAGAAATGCGCGTTGATACGTACAGTGCCAAGAGGTGTTATTGCGGTGCCCGAGGCGGTATACGTTTTGGGGTCCTGGTAGAACCCTACCCAAGCGTTAGATTCTTTCCTTCCTCTGAGGCCGACCGCGTACCTGCACGGTCACCATGTCTGCCGTTGGCATCGATAAGATTGCTGTGAAGTAGCACAATCGACGACGCACCGAGTGAGGATAAGTACACCGAGGAGCTTGTCGGCCATTCTTGATTCCGGGTTGTGGTGGGAGGAAGACGCTCAAGAGCCCACATGGCATCTTCGCGGTTTAAAACAGAACTGGACCGCCGCGCCGCGGCTTGCTTGACATGATTTTTCTCAGTAACATGTGATCATAACCACAAGGCTGGTTCCGTCCGATTCATCATCTAGACTGAGTATGAAGGTTTTAAGGACTCAGTGGTCTAAGTATCTAACATTATTTGTATACTAATGAGTGATGTTGCGTTGGCAGTCCTGCACACTTGAGTCGTTGCGCATGTTACTCACCTCGCTTTCCAAACGCATGTTTTGATTATAAAGGGACTATCGGAGGCTGCGGGGTGAATACGCAGAATCGAAAAACCCACAGACAGAAGTTTTTGCCTTCGAATAACTTTGTCGGCTTCATCCCCTGCTAAAAAACCGCCCAGCAGTTCCGCCCAAGGTTATTTGACGAAAGTCGCCCACTTCCAATCATCGAATGCCTTGCCTGGATTTCAACCACTCATTTCAGCTCCGCCGTGATCTTCTCGTCGTCATACTCGAATACCACGCGACGGAGACACTTGCTATCTTGCCGCAGAACCAGTGCTTGCGCAATCGCTACCCGAGTTTCCTTATGCTTTGGGTGGTCCGCGCAGTTCAGGTTGGGGAGCATTAGGTGAAGCTCTATCAGTTTCGACGGCGTAACGAGCCCAGAAATTATTTGCGGTAGATCTTCCAGACCGCCCGTCCATCCGTATCTAATGGTGAGCTCCCATTGTTGAATGTCCGGAAATGCCATATGACCAGCTTCCCAGATATCTGAAAACGCATCCAGAGGAATCAACGGTAGGAGCCGTAGTTTAAGAATTTGTCCAGTCGCCGCCGTCAGAGCAGAAACAATCTCGGGGTCATAGAGGTCAAAGGCGTTTGGAAGCAGCACAAGGCTCTCAATCGGGCGACCAGGAACGATGTCTTCTGCGAGGCTGTAAGGGCAAGAGAGGTGATGGAGCATTGGCAGGGTGTGACGGGGGAGAGATATGGAGCTATTGTAGCGAGGAGTGACTTGGCTAGGCTTTGGCATTGAGCCATAAGACCGAGAGGGGTCCAGTGCATATGATTTTATGCAGCGGAGAACAAGAGTATGGACATGGGGTGTGTGCGCCATAAACTCCGAAGCCAATCCTCCGGGAAGCTCATTGGACAAATCGAGTTCAAGGTGGGTTAGATGAGGGAATAGACCACCATGTAACCCTCGTATGATAGTGCTGGTGAAATGCTCTCCCCGAAGACACAATCTCTGGAGATGGACAGGGTCGGCAATGTCGAATAAATTTTGCGTATTAGCGACCAGAGACAAGTTATCGGTCGTTAGAACGTGTAAGGGAAGCCGTCGTCCCGAAGTAACTGTGCTGTTGCTGAGCTTCAAGTGACGCAGGCGTGGGAGTGTATCGATCGCGCCTCGAAGTTCGGGAGCAGAACCATGGAACCAGTAAATGGTGAGGGAAGTGACATTCTGGAAGAGCGCAAGGCTCTGGACAAAGGTTTTCGATACCTCAGAAGTCAATTTTATCCGCTTGCCCCAATGCTGGTTGTCCATCCCGAATTGGAGTGATTTTGCGAACCCCGGTCGACGTGAACTGGCCAAGAGAGCGTTGAAGTCGTCCATGAACTTTGGGAGCGCGTCATCATCATAATCAGCCACAACTGGGGGGACAACCCGGACGTCACGGTATAGGAGAGGCTGGCAAATGTCGTTGAACTGTTTGCAGGTAAGGCAGAGCGCCAGAAGCTCCAGTGTGGTGCAGAGGATCCATGTACGATGCCAAAGCTCACGCGGCATTTGCTGTCGGGATGACATGATGCACTACTCCAGTAGTAAACAGGTTGTTGTGTGGCGAGTCCTAGGGAAGTCCGAAGAGTTTTGGAAGAGTTGCTGAAGAGGATCAGAGCGCCCCATAAATGTCACGGTCATTGCCGTGTCAGTTGGAGGCCGATCAATTCTCACGGTCACGGTACCATAACAAGTGAAGGCTGCGTGGATTTGCACATGGAATGCATTACTTATAACCGATCATACTATATGGCTACAGCCGGAGCGGCAAGAATCGACTCTGAGTATACACACTAAGTCTGAGATTGAGGTTGTTTTTGTGCTGGATCGACCCCGATCGCGGTTCTGCAAATGCCTTCTTTCATCGCCACACAATATCCCAATCAGGAAAGGACTGGTCCCAGTCGGGACACACACTCTCAACCATACAGCCAAGAAAGAGAGAGCGCCTAAGCGGTGACCGTCTCACTGTTGGCGGCTGGACTTGGCCAAAAAGAAATCTGGCAGTCTTCTCCTCAGAGAGCAGTCTGTCATATGAAACAGAAGGCATGGCTCAGCTTTCTTGGGTCCTCCGACCTCCCCCTCTCCCGCCTTTTCCCCCAGCATCACTGTGCCTCGCTGTATGGAAGTGTATACAAAATCAGTGGGACTGGGACTGGCCCAATCCCACTGTTTGTGCCCAGTCTCACTGATTCACGTCCCATCAGTGGGATTCATGCCGTCAAACGTGACACATTCATGAGTCCCACTGATTAGCAGACCTGTCACAGACAAGCAGGTTGCAGTGCCGGCCACAGTTTTTCCACCCCAGACCCTGACCAGGGCCAGACACAGCAGGCACACTGTAAAACTGTATCTTTGAGTATAACTGAAAATGATACTTTTTGTTGTACTTTCAGGCAGCACTGGAATTGGCACTGAAAACAATACTATTAGTTTATCTGACATCTGTACCAAAAATAGTGGTTTCAGTAACAGTTTTAGCAGCTGCTGAAAACAGTCTTCAGTATATGCTTGAAGTGATGCTAAAAGCACTTCTTTCAGCTCAGTTTATATCTTATCTGAAATTTGTCCTATTGAGAACACTGATTTTCATGTCAAAATGAATGATTTCAACACAAATTTTAGTTTCAGCTGAAAACAAGGATTTTAGGATGTAACTGAAAATCGTATCAATAATTCCAATATCAGAACCCTGTGGGGGGACTTGATGTTCTGATGCATGGACTTTAACACAATGTTCAGTTATGTACCTGAAACCTTGTTTTCAGCTTGAACTGAAAATTATGCTGAAATCAGTGATTTCAGCATAAGAATTAGCATCACCAAAAGGACTAATTTCAGAAGACACAAAAAATGAACTGAAAATAGTGCATTCAGCATAACTTTCACTGTATACTGAAAGCTGTGTTTTAAGTAGCCAGTAAAACTGTTGCTGAAATCACTGCTTTTCATGCAAATTTTAGACAAACTGTCAATATTGTTTTTAGTTCCAATTTCAGAACTATCTGAAACCACAATAAAAAGCATCATTTTCAGTTACACTGAAAGATACCATTTTACAGTGTGAGGCGTCCGCGGCAACCGGCAGGGCTTGGCTTGATCTCCATTGTCACACGATGTCAAGTGCAAGGGCATCAATCCCACTGATCAGACTCACTTAGTGCCTGATCAGTGGGAGTGATGCAGACTGGACAAGTCCACTTCTACTGATTTCGTTATCCCTCGCTGCATGGTAAACCCCCTGTCAGCAGCATTACCTACTCCATCCTCACCGCTGTTCCCACTATGCCCCGCGCTGCCTGCCAGCCAACTTCCATCCGACAAGTCCGTCTTGATGCTTAGACAACACCCCTATCCAGCCCCTACGATACCCCACCCTCCCTCCATCCAACACCACTATTGACCTTGACAACACTGTCTTCCTCAACAGGCTTGCAAGCGAGCAGAGCTGGAGGTTCCATCCCCGAGCCCAGATGAGTGACGACAAGCACACCACCTTCCTTGAGAGAGCCAAGAATGCACCATCTGTCGCCCGTTCTTGGGCGCGAGGTACTATGCAGAACATCTTTGGTATAGATAAGAAATGGACAGTGTGTATCTTATATTTTCTCACTTAGCCGCCTATGCAGCGTAGTGTAAGGGCAACCCCGGAGGCCTAAGATCAAGGTCCTAGCAGGGGAGGATCCAAAGCATGAACATTGGTAAGCGAATACAAATGAAGCTGACCTAGCAGGGGAGGATCCAAAGAGAAGAAACTCTGAGGGTCCGCCTGCTAGGTAGCTGACTATATACTGCTTGTCCGTAGCTGCCGCTGTCGGGCACAGAAGGCTTGGGCGGCATCGCAGGCGAGGTCCCAGGGCGACCGTCGGGAGGGCGTTGACGGATCGGTGATTGTGCGGGCGAGATGGAGGGCCAGGCCGGAGTCGGAACCGGAATCGGACCGGAATCGGGCGCGTCTCCGGGCCGAAAGGGAGGTTCCCCTGACACGTAGATGGAAAAGGCTGAATGTGCTGTTTTCCAAACAGTCAGATATTGCGCCCAGTATGGCCTTGGCATATGATATCCAAGGGATCTAGTAGAGTACATAACCCATACCTACTGATTAATATAGACTGGGCATCCACTAACTTCTGTACCTAGGAAGTTAGTAGACACCTTCAGTGAAAATAATGATATGCCACATCTCATGCACTACTACTACATATAGTGCATGCATGATAGAGTTAGTTATGTACTCAAGAAAGCATACTTATAGTAGTAGCAGTAGCTATTTCTATGGTATTCCCTCTAGTTAGAGGGGGAAAGGCATTATAGAATCTGTAACCTCATTATACCTCTTTAAGTTTAGTATCTACTATCTAGATCATTTAGTAGGGCTACTACTATATGACATCTGTCTACCAACCTGTAGCCCGTGCCTAGGAAGGTTAGTAGATAACTGCTTAATGAAATCATTATAAAAGGGCTTCAATATGGCATATAGACAATCATGATAACCTATAGTATAGATATATGTCCAGAAACTTCCTATATACCTATCTATATACACATGTTGTCCACTAACTTCTATAGAGAGGAAGTTAGTGGACATATTACATACATCATGAGCCTATATTTCAGTAAAGAGAATAAATTTCAACTTGATTTCTTTACATTACTAGCTAGAATTGCTTTCTCTACAATTTTGATTCTATGATTGCAGATCATTAGATCA